CGCACTTCGTTCCTAACCCAGGCTTTAGGTTCGATTCCCGACCACAGCTAACATCAGTGACGAATATCTGAACCGGTCCTGGGACTCCACTAGGTCAACTCAACCCTTAAATGAGCACCTAGCACCGTGTTGTCCTTCCCCCACACCTCCGATAAGCACACTTGGCTATGTACGGTGCGACAGAAATTCAACTTTTATATATATACACAGGCAACACATAGTAGACAAACAATCAGTTAAAGACGTAAATGGCAGAGGCTCACACACCGGGTAGCTTTGAAACACATTTATTGGGTATCTCTGTACAGGACAGGGTTTTCATAATTAATTACTGGCCAATCATCCACAACTGGCCACGACTGTGCGCGTCGCCGGAACTCGAAAACATGAAGAGCGAGGGGACGCGTCCCGTCTTCATCACAGCTCCATGAAGCATCCTCCTTCATCCACCCGGGACGCAGCACAATAAGTTTCACCGCACCTCATTCCAATATAATTCATATATATACTATAAGTGACATAAATTACATTTTACATGGGCCAAATAAATTACAGCAGTCCGCTTCACGTAATTACACGAACAATCTTGTGGTGCTGTGTGAAGCGGCATTCCACGCACCCTCAAGAGAACAGGCAGGCATGTTTATACCCTGTAGCTTCATCACAGGGCGAGGGAAGTTCAAAAGTGTCGCCCTGCTCAAATGGACGTGGCCCGAACGCTCAACTCCGTCGTCAGCCCTGAGCCGGTGGTGGAAATTCCACATTCATATGGCAGGGGCCAGCTTCCCCCTCAAAGGACCACCACTCTTTAATGTCTCACAAAGTAGTGTGTGTGTGTGTGTGTCTTGTTAACCTTGAGAGTGTGGCGGGCCAAGTTTGAGATCCGACCTGGATTTGAAATCGCAACCTTGTGACTGCGAGTGGACGACAAACCGGCAACATTAAATACAGGTACTTGAGTGGCACACTGGTTAACGTGGCTGAATTCCAGGCAGGATGTGCACTGCCGTGAACCCCATCAGTTATGAGTTAGTGAAAAGGCAAATTCCTCCGATTTCTGTGGAGGAAAAAAAGTTCGACATTACAGAAGTCGGCAGCTACTTTGCTATTATTTATGCGGCACAACTGCTTCAGTTTGCCTCTTTTGACCACACCTGATGCAGAGATGCGAGCGCACACAGCTGCCTCGGATCAAATTGTATCTCCTGAGATCGCTGTCATTCGTAACAGAAGTTAGGCATGTAACGAATACTTTATTTACCGATGAAAAATTTAATTTTCAGCTCAAGATACATGCATGGTGTATGAGAATCAATTATTTACGGTGTATGCAAATGTTACCTATAGGCGAACGGAATTAATGAAAAGGAACATACGAGGGGGGAAATATCGAGACGGTAGAATTGAGGCAAATAGAGATTAGTGAATCAAATCGTAACTGAATCATTAAAGTTGATCGAATTGCAGGGGATTCAATCGGTACATGGACGTAATGGCGGTACCATACCGGTGCAGCATAACAACACAACAGACCTCATAAAAGTCTGACGATGTCGCTGTTACCCCTTGAGTGAGCTGCAGGACTCCTCCATGAGAAGTTCCACTGGGATTCAGCAGCCGCTTTCCCATTCGAGCGTGTGACACCACGGGTTTCGTAATCTTTTTATGCCACCGTCTGCCGAGAAATTATTCCAGAAATGAATCGAGGAACCGTCCGACCAAGTCTAAGGCACGAGGAGTCAAATCTCGCTGCCTTTGGAACACGGAGCCAAGGGTCATTAGGCTGGGTGCTATCATGTGAAGTTTCGTGTTCAGCCGCTCATAACGTTCGTCTTCCGACTGCTTCGACTACACGAGAAGTGATGTTGACGCACCCCGCAAGATTTCCTGACCGGGGTTGTGAATCACGGACAAATAAATAATGATTGCGAAAAAAGTGTTTCATACCGCGCATCACCGGTGTATCGTCAATACATTCACGTGCACAATGGGGGGAAAAAACCCCGACACACTCGACATAGCCAGCTGTACCACCTCTCTGTTATTCTCAGCTATAATGCTGCATAGAGCCTTCTTCCTACCGTAGGTTTATCTCGCAGCGTTTTAATCTAAATATTACGAGATGACCCTTGGGCCCTGCCGCCTCTCACTTCGATCCCGAAATACAACTCTTGCATGTGTGACAGTGAGAGGCGTCACCGTCATACGCTGCACAGGGTCAGCCTCACCCGACAAAGGGGGGAAGGGAGGTCATTGCCCTCGCGGTGTCGCTCGTGGTGCCACAGTACGCAGATGCGGCATCACGGTGTGGCACGGTCGGCGTGCGACACCCTCTCGTTCACTCAGTGGCGCAATGCGGACGCGAAAGTAAAATGTCTCCACAAAGACGGGTTAACGCAACATCGTCCTCGAACAGAAATTGTAACAGCAGCACGAAGTCACGCGCAGTTGGGTTCCCGTGAGCGCCTTAGACCCCCCCCCACCCCCCTGCACGCAGGATGATAATTCATGCATACGCATCATGGGTTACGTGGTAAGGCGGTTCCAACATGCAACCCTGCCCTCGGCGAGTACCCATTTAGTCGACAACAGCAACGGCCAGGCGCGCAGGAAGAGCAGCGGCACCCGTGGGCCACGATGAGCCCAAAACGCGGGGCTCGAGAATCATGGCCCCGCCAGGGAGACTCGGGTCGGTAGGGCCGGGACACCTCGGCGCGCCCTTGCAGCCCTCGCGTCTCCCGAGTTTCGGGGACAATCACATTTGATCAATTTTGGCTGGCTTTCGGTCGGCGAAGTCCCTTGCTAGTAACTGCACTTGCCGCAAAAAAATGTTGGTTCATGCTGAATCCTTTTTACGAGAGTTATTGTCCACGCCCCCCACCCCCGACTCAATAACACACAGACGTCATGTACAAACGCTTAAATAATAAAGGTGGCGCCTCTCCAAGGGGCCCTTGTACACTGTGGCTCAGATTTCTGCCTGCAGTGCAGCGGCACAGCCGGGGAGAATGCAGCGACTAGTGCGGTGTGTGGGTGCCGACACTAAACAACAATAACACGCAGCACGTCTTCCAGTGACATGTACACACAGACTCAAACACAGTGTCACACGGCACCTTCTCTCCGTGTGACACACACGTGGATGTCCAGAGTCCGAGACACAATATCTCATTGTCGCGCACATGCACACAAAATAGCGTTGCAGCGTTTCACTGAGTCTCCTTACACAACGCGCCACACGTTATAATCACACAGTACTGGACATCTCTCATTGCCACAAGCACGCGCGGTGTTTCAGTCTCAAAGACAACGTGTGAGTGTCACACGGTACGGGTGTCACACACACACAACAACAACCGCCATTCGCCACTAAGTGGCGCTTGTGCCAGGCTATGTGCACGTTGAGGCTACACACACAGTGTTTCACAATCTCAGTGTCAACACACACACACCGAGTGCAGTGTCATAGCTGTCCTTCATCTATCTCACCCTCAAATATTAAGACTACAATATAATTTTAAAATGCTACTTTCTTTAGCTTTCCGTCATTTAGGTTTCTTTATAGACCTTGTATTTTTTTTCTAAGATAATTAACATAGAGGAACAATTACACAAGTGAGACAGGAGTGACCCTTGCAAGCGTAGAATCACTGCTGCAGGATCACTGTGGAAGATTTAGTCACGGGCTGACCGGGTAATCCCATTATTAAATACCAATCAGGTATCATGCTAGATTTGAAGTGTTTCTTGGCTGCAAGGATCCATACTCTTGGGTTTTTTCGGTAAAGTCACGTAGGTGAAAAAAAATAATTCTTGCTGTGGTTGTCACACCTGATGATGATTGCTTGTGTTGCAATCGAAACGTCGTGAATTATTTATTTTTATTTTATTTTATTTATTTTATATTTTTTCACCTACGTGACTTTACCGAAAGAACCAAAGAGTAGCAATGAGGTATGTTCTCTACACTCAACGTTCCACAACTTTTGATCACCTTCAGCTATTGCGATAAAACGCAGGATCGTAAAGTGCAACATAGCAGCACGGCAGAGATCCCAAGAGTACACGGAGCTGCGGTTGGCATCACTCTCTACAGGAGGTCCCCTCGGATGTTGAGCGCTATTCTGGATGTGCTGTGCCAGGAGCATACATATATTAATATTTTCCAAGTCATTAAGCTGGACAGACACGACTGAAACAAAGTCCTCGTGGTGGTGGAGTTCAGTGTGGGGCTGCGTGCGGAGTGCAGCCACTCCAATGGATCGTCGTGGCCGCTCGTCTCATTCAATGACCATCAATACCAGGGCCGAATGAAGACCGCGGCGAACGCTGTGGATTTCTGCCGAGGTTCCTAATAAAACCTGCCTCGGAGGACCCCCACCACTGCTCCGCACGGCTTTGATCTGCCAAGAAAACCTGTGGTGCTCCATGAACCGCTGCAGAACAGCGACTGGTTTTGCTGCGCCCACCTCGCCCCACAAGTGGGAAGTTAAAGGTGACCTGCAGTGTGACTACAGCTGCCCGAACCAAATAACGGACCGTATTGCGAACAACTGCATTCGACGCCCGTGTTATGGCGGACTGGACAGTAACTCCCGAAGCTGTCACGAACTTAAACCTGGACTCATAATTTATACATACAGCACTTGCCAATTGCAAAAATATTTCCAAATGAACACGTGGGGTTTGGCACGTGCGGGCAGAGCGGAAGGGCATATTCTACATGAAGCTTTCTTTTTGGGTTAGATTGCATAAATATAATGTGTCGTTAAACCCGCCACCACCCGACACAGCTAATTAGCAAGGTTTGGCATGTAAACAAAATATGCCAATTAGTTACTAGTTCAGCACACCGGTGTGTTGGAGAGTAAACCCACATCATTTACAATTCGAGTGCAATGTTTTGCCAGTAATTACAAGCAGCCTCATCAGGTGACAGCCAGAATTGTGGAGAATTCCTCTCGTTTCGGTCTTAAATAGAGAGGATAAATGTGATGTCGTCACTGTGAGCCAATCAGGTGCGAAGACCAGAGGGGGGTTAATGTAGTCATATAAATTACAATGGACATCTATCATTAACCTCTATTATGGATAAAATTGGTCGCGAAAGCCTACGTGTTAAAACGGGCATATTTTACCGATGTACACTTAAAGCCCTTGTGCAAATACACTGCTGGATTAGGGCCTTATTACGCCGTGCAGATCTTGAGATGTTATTTGACCATACATCACCGTGAGGGTTAGTAAAGGCTGCGAGCAGTCGTTGACTGGGATAGGACAGCACAATAGATCTTGCTGCAATGTCCTCTGCAGAGGACACAGTCTCGTATCTTTGCCCACTTGAAGAAAAAGAAAATCACAAATTTCCTGCAGATTTGCCAATTTTTTTCCCCAACCTAAATGTGACGCAAAAATGTGTTTCCGCCAACACGAAAATTACCCTCGCCCCCAAGTGTTCGTTGATCAATTTATACGCACGCGCGTGTGTAATTTTTTTGTTTACTGGTTTCCAGTCTCCCGAAAACACCACGGGCCAATGTGAGATCCACGCTGAGTCTCGGGAGGCAGCGCCACGCTCCTACTTCTCACGCTCCCCCGATCGTTCACGCCACGCCTGTGGCTATCGAGCTCACTGGCACCCGCGAAGCAAACAACTGGTGCTTGCATCAGCGGACGTTCTGTGATCATTGTCACCTGGGTGCAGATGACAAAGCGAGGAGAGTGTGTACGTGAGCGGTGGAGCTTATCGGGGTTCGAGCGCAGCTCTGTAGTGTTCCACAAGACGGAAAAAAAACATGGCCGGAAAAATAAACATCTCTTACAGGAGCCACATTTGTTTTTGCATTAGGCTACACGTGGTGGTCGTTTTTTTTTTGCCAAGATTCTTGTCATTAACCCGCCAACACCCGACAAGATTTCCACGTTTAGAAAGATATTCCACCGGTGGCTTCAGGATTTTCACTGCTGAATTTAATATTTTTGTAAACGTGGCAATGTAGTCGGGTGGCTGAGGGTTAACGATACGAATTTTTGCTTAAATCTACTACGTGGCCTCACTCAAAAACAAATATATATCGGCGGGAAAAAACAAAACTTTAAGTTCTCTCACATGAGTTAAAAATATTTTTTCTTCATTAGCGAAAATTTCAAACTTGTGTTAGATAAACCCGGAACACACAACCTGTGTTACGTTTTTACAACTACAACTATGAGACATTTGTTTCGCATGCCATACAGTTTGCGTTTGGATACATTTCCTTGGATCATAACAAATAAATAGGAATGAGTGTCCTCGTCACTAAACTGTGATGCGTACTCGCTGTCGCAGCCTAGCAAATGAGGGCCGGCGTCTTGATCGACTTCCCTTCTCCTGCACACATGTTACATCATCGTAAAAAATTCACTTTGCACTTCACTCCCGGAATCGCCAAACGGAGCCACTCAGTGCAAATTGGTGCGCACGGGAAAATTTTTACCGACTTCGTCGACAATAAAAACCGACGGCATGTTGGGAGCCGAGTGCTTCAGGACAAACAGTGAGCTTGCTGGCGTTGTGCCGTGCGGCGCTGCGCTGCCAATTTGTTGAACAGGACACGCACAAGTGGCGGAGGCTGAGCTGGCTTGATAATACAGCCCATGGACATGTTGAAGCAGTAAAGGAAACTCTCGTGCATAGGCAGAGTGTACAATTAAGACTGGGCGTATGGCCCCCAGTGGTGTAGCGTGGTTGGCATGGACCCTGGTGCGCTGAATTAAATGGGGGGGCTGTCCATTTCCCTCGCCCATCTTCGTAGCACGTGGCCTCGGCCCCTCAGACATGTGGGCCCCGGTGTAGGTGAACCACCTGCGCACGTGATGCGTAGAGCACTGGGTTGCTCCCTTGAGGAGTTTTTAGTCTAGACGCTGCTGCTCCGAAAATCAGATTACGTAAAATTGCAAAACCTGTGGGGCAGCAAATTGTCAACGACCAAGAAGCAGAGCTACGTCATCTTGAAGGCGTGAAATGTGGTCTGCAGCGACGCGAGCGTGGGGATGACAAAGGAAGGTATCCTCAAGTGCAAAAACACCGTGTTACTGACGACTTGCTGTGCTGATGATTCCTAATGACGTTGGGCCAAGTGCGACGTTGCCAAATGTGATGACAAGTTTACCGGGAAAATTTCCAGTTGCAAATTGGCCCCGTCCAATCCTGTATGGGGGTGGGTGGTGAGAAATGGTTGGTGGTAGTGAGCAGTGGGTGGGTGAAGGTGATGGTGATTTTGGAAAACCACAATACAGGGAGCAACGCCGAGCAGCTTTTGGGTTGCGTTGTAAGCGGTTGAAGGGGAATGAGGTTTGGGCGAGAATCGGTGGGAATGTTTGAGCGAGTGGTTGAAAAAAATGGAAGTTTGAACACAAAGTTCGGGAGAAGCTGAGTCGGCGTCGCTTTGCGTGGGAGGCGAGGCTGTGCGCCGATGTTGAGCCATGCTGATGTGAGCTCCCGGGGGGCGTGACGTCCACCTCGGTGGCTGGGAGTCAAGGGGTCACCAACTGAAGACGCGAGCCCTGGCTGTGGCCACGGTGGAGTCGGAGGCCTCCCCCTCCGAGGTGTCTGAGCCCGAGTCACGGAAGGCCAACGCGCTCTGCACGACCACACGCGGCACACATGGAACGCCGCGTCATCCAAAATTATCGGCGCGAGCGGTGCTGACGAACGCCTATCAAGGCTGGCAGGGGGCTGAGGCTAAGTTGACTTAAAGGTGGTCCAAGCATGGCTGCGGCCACGTGCAACACTTCCGCGAACCCCCGTGCCGCATCCGCGGCCCCCCCGTTCCGCACCCCACACGCCCCCTATCCGTAAACCCCGTGCCACGGCCGTGCGCGCACCTGCACGGGGCTGGGCACCGGCGGGTGCGTAATCTCGTCGCGCGCCAGCTTGCCCAGCGAGATCTGCGTCTTGACGCGTCGCACGGCCGTCTCCTTGTCGGACAGCCCGTCCGACTGAGTCGAGATCTCTATGGGGACCTCGGGGGACTTGGACGCAAGCCCTCGCCCGCTGCCACCGTGGCCATCCTCCTCCTCGTCGTCAAACTCATCTTCATCATTTTCGTCGTCGCGCCGCCGACGATCGCGGGCATCCTCGGTGGCCCCCGTGCCACCACCGCCTCCCGCTCCCCGCGGCGGGGTCAAGGGTCGGGCCGGCTGGGGCACCGGGGCATGAGTGGGCTGGGGCGGCTCCGACTGGTCGCTAGTGTTGCCCTCCTCCAGGTCGTCCGACGCCGACAGGTTCTCGGAGCTGAACGTGGAGTATGACTGGAAGCCGCTGACGCACCGGTGTGGCCTGTTAGTGGTGAGAAGGTACAGGGTGGGAGATGGGGGGGGGAGGGACGACTTGGTAATGTTGTGGGTAACTCATCCTGAGGTGTGAGTGCAGGTCTGGGTGCGCAGCATCGTGGGTGAAACGAAATCCGTGCAACTAAATGGGCAATCTTTCATCTTTGTTTTTCCATGCACTGCAGCCCGATTCTTAACCACTGCCTTCAAGACTCCTGAAAATTGACCATTCGTGGCCATGATGCAGCATGGGCACTGAGGTGCATGGCTCCCACCTCTGCCTGCGTGGGAAGTCGATTTCGCTGTCCACCTCCCCTTCCTCCTCCTCGGACGAATCCGGTTGGGCCTGTCCACGACAACCACGGAACATGACGTCGCATTGGCGTGACACCCACACACATACGGGTACACACAGGCACACGCGTCCACCGCCGGACAAAACCCAACAAAAATATCGGGCTCGGCAAAGCGACCGCCATTCCCACGACGATGCCCGAGCGCTGCAACCCGAGCCCTCACCGCGTCGGCGCTCGTGCGCTGTTGCAGCCTGAGATGCTTCCCCGCGACACTGGCTGCGGTGACGTCATGAGGCGCGTCCGCCCCGCTACCGCGACCGGGCAGCACCGCCGCCGCTCCGGAAACCCGCGGCAGCCGGCTCGTCGAACCAACGCCGTGGCCCGCTGCGGCATCGCCCCCGCCGCCACCGCCGACCTCCGCTCGCCGCGGGTCACCGTTCGGCCGTGGGGCGCCGTCATCGTCGATCCTCCCAGCACCGATCCTGGCCGCGCCGACGACGTCGGGGTCGGCGCAAGGCCGCAGCGGCGCGGGGGCACCACGCGCGCCATCCGCCGCGAGATTGGCACCGTCGTCTCGACGGTGCCGGGCGGGTGTCCCGTTCGCCGCGCTGTCGGCGTCGGGCCGAGGCAGCGCCACCAGCCAGGAGAAGTCGCCGTGGCTGCCCCTGCTGTTGGTGCGGCGGTGGCGTGCGCGGCCCCGGTAGCGGCCCTTGCCAGGCGGCGTGGACAGCTGCGGCTTGTGGGGCACGGCGGACGCGACGGGGGGTGCGGGCGGCGCACGAGACGGCACGGGGCTTGATTCCGTGCTGCCGGGAATTCCCTCCGAGCGCAGCAGGTCGGGTCTGTCGACGCAGGAGGGCGGGAGGGCTTCGCGTCACAGCCCGCGCGCATTTGTCGCGGCCCTCGTACGCGCGCACGCAGGTGATGGTGCGCTGCCTGGCTCGCCCACCTGCTGTCACGCCCCGCGTGACCCCACCTGCGTCCGTGCGACGAGGGTTTGTGGGTCGAGGGTTTTTTCTTGATGAGACGCTCAACGGCCGAGGGCCGGAGGGCCGGACGAGCCGGGAGCCGCTTGTAAACGCCGGGATACTTCCTCTCCAGGTCCTGTTCACGCCTGCGTCACGCACATACACATTTTACATCGCCCAGTTATAGAGGCTTTTGGTAGTAAGTGGAGTTAAGTGAGCACTCGTAAAGACTGACTCAGCACATGAATGGGTGGTTTGGTCAGCAAGGCACTCTGTAAATATCAGCACGTGGACGCACACAAGTGTTCACAAACAAACCAAGGTCCCCCGTATAGCCTTAACAGACTTTTGGGGCAAGTACTGTTAAGCGAGTACCAGGTACTTATTTGAGGCTGAGTCGACCTAGGGGAGGCCCAGGACCGATTCAGATTATCGTTACTGGTGTTGGCCGTGAGCGCGAAAACGATCTCGGATCGTCGGCTTCGTTTCGCAGCGCGCTAACCACCACTGCGTCACTGCTCTCCACCCACAACTGTTGCAGGCACGCAGATGCGCAAGTGTTCCCATATGCTCATGCTCACCTGAGTAGGTCCTTTTCCCAGGCCTCGAGCTGCACCATGACAGCGCTGAGCTCCAGGTATAGGTTGTTGGCTCGCTCCAGCTTGCGCTCGTAGTGCTCGCGGATGTCCAGGGCGTGCCTGCATCAGCAGCAACACCAGCAACAGCAGCAGCAGCAAGGCGGTTGGATCACGTGGCGGGGCCAGGGGTGGCGGCGAGTGGGGAGACATCGATGAAGGGATGAAGAGAACGTGCAGGACAAACAAGAGGTTGGCTAAACACGAAACCAAATTAGCAAATGTATGCATGCATGGACGATGAACTTCTTTCACACCGTACTTAGCCAACCGTGCTAATCGCAATGCACCAAATCTCGTGAGAACCTAAGCAGGGTTAAGCACGGGTAGTGCTTGGATGGGCGACCGCTGTGCATAGCAGGGGTTATAGGGTGCTGTGGGGCTACATCGTCAGCAGAGGGCACTGTGGAAAAATCCATTGTTTTACTGCGCTATGCTCCCCACCTTCACCGATCCCCATTGACCAGCATGGTGAAGTATGGTCAAACAACCCCCGCAGGGACTGCACTGTGTAGAGATGCACTCGTCCAGCAGCAGATTGACAAAAAAAAAAGGGCTGTACGCGTACGTGGCTGAAAACGGGAACGGAGTGAGTGGAGTGGAGGGTGGGGAAGATAGGGAAGGGAGAGGGGAGGGAGGAGAGCGGACCGGAGCTCGTGGCGCCGGCGTCGGATGAGCTCGTCGTCGAGGCGCTGGATGCAGGTGCCCTCGCTCTTGATCTTCTCAAAGTGCGCGCGCACCTCCTCCCGCCACTCCGCCTGCGCTCGAGCACGCGTCAACGCCACTGCTAGGGCACGGCGGGGCGACGCGCGGTGACGCGGGTACGGCGGGGCGTGGTGCAGGCCGCCGTGCCGTAGAGCGGCGATTGCCCGACCCTCGTGGACGATGCGGTGCACGGGAATCGCAGGGTACACAAACTGCACTCCGGGTGCAGGTGCAGGGTGCTCTCGCGAGCGTGGGGTGCGGCAGTGTGGCGGTTAGCGCACTGCGCTGCGAACCCGGCAACCCAAGTTCGATTGCCGTTCACGGCTGACAGCAGTGACCATTATCTTAACCGGTCCTGGGCCTCCAAAGGGCGACTCAGCCTTAAATGAGGAACTGCTGCGGTGTTTAAACATCGCCACTGGGGAGGCAAAGGCGGCCGGGCGTGGTGCTGGCCACCTACCCTGTCATGTCCCTTCATAGGTGCTCGCTAATAGCACTTGCCCCAACAGTCTGTTAAGGCTATACTGGGGATCTTTGTCTTTGCATGCTGGCCGCTGTGGGCACGCGTGCCGCGCCTTCCCTGCTGCGCCCTCACCTGCGACTGGAAGTACGTCTCGTGCGGCGTGGCGAGGACGTCCGCCGCTGCGATGTCCAGGTGTAACAGGATCTGCCGGAACGACGGCCGGTTCCGCGGTTTGCTGTTCCTGTCCGCGTAGGACGCACACGGACATAAATATACACACGGAGGGGGAAGGGGGTTGGTAGAAAGGACGATCGTGCACGCATTTCCAGGTTGGGATCAGGAGGGAGGGACCCCCTCCTCCCACAGAGCGAAGGTCAAAAACCTCTCACTTAGCGGTCGCCGGGCGGTTCAGGAAGGTTCGGCAAGGGGAAATGGAATGACGAATTTAGGCGCCGAATGGGTTGCTGCATCCCAGGACAGCGATCTATGACGACATGCTGGGGGAGCCTTTCATCCAGTCGTGGATAAATCATTGCTGATAGTAATTTCACGCATGTATTTTACTTTTATTGAACAAAATACGTCGCACAAACTCCCAAGTCCAGAAGTCAACAGCCACGGAGAACCGCCCTCACGCAACGGAGCCGTATATATATCTCATTACTGTATGGGGGGTGGGAATTACATTGCATTTTTAAAACCACCACCAGCACCTCCAGCACCTCTTACCAGCACTGCTGCAGCAGCAGGGAGAAGCCGTCGGGGCAGGAGGCGGGGACTGGCAGGTGGAGGCTGTTGCTGCCCACGCCCCAGATGATGGCCGACGAGTCGACGTCGCGGTAGGGAACCTCCCCCGTGAGCAGCTCCCACAGCACCACGCCAAACGACCTGAAACGGCGATGGTGAGAGGACGCGGCGTTATAAAATGTTCAGCTGAAGTTGGTGGCGGTCATCCACAGTTGACATGCCCAAGCTCGGCGGTGTCAATTCCACATTTCTGTGACAGAGATCATCACAACTGCCGTTGACTTCCCTCAAAGTGGGACTCATCGTATCGAACCTGTAAAAGTCGACGACGAAGCGCTGGGTTGGACCGTTTCCCAACGGGATTTGAATTTGCGACCTTTCCGATTTGCTGAAACTACCTCCTGTATACCAGGCGAGGCAGTTAACATCTCCTAGCCACCGTGATGATGATGATGATGATTTGAGAGAGACACGCAAACTCCAAATATACAACAGGCATCAGGGTCGGGATTGAACCCACGACCTCCTGTATACCTGGCGAGGCAGTTAACATCTCCTAGCCACCGTGATGATGATGATGAGAGAGACACGCAAACTCCAAATATACAACAGGCATCAGGGTCGGGATTGAACCCACGACCTCCTGTATACCAGGCGAGGCAGTTAACATCTCCTAGCCACCGTGATGATGATGAAAGAGAGAGAGAGACACGCAAACTCCAAATATACAACAGGCATCAGGGTCGGGATTGAACCCACGACCTCCTGTATACCAGGCGAGGTAGTTAACATCTCCTAGCCACCGTGATGATGATGATGAGAGAGAGAGACACGCAAACTCCAAATATACAACAGCTCATCAGGGTCGGGATTGAACCCACGACCTCCTGTATACCAGGCGAGGCAGTTAACATCTCCTAGCCACCGTGATGATGATGATGATGAGAGAGAGAGACAAGCAAACTCAAAATATGCAACAGGCATCAGGGTCGGGATTGAACCCACGACCTCCTGTATACCAGGCGAGGCAGTTAACATCTCCTAGCCACCGTGATGATGATGAGAGAGAGAGACACGCAAACTCCAAATATACAACAGGCATCAGGGTCGGGATTGAACCCACGACCTCCTGTATACCAGGCGAGGCAGTTAACATCTCCTAGCCACCGGGGCACCCCTTGTGGGACTGCGTACACTCTGACCACGGGCGGGACCCACCAGATGTCCACCTTCTCGGAGACGGGCTCGTTGCGGATCACCTCCGGTGCCATCCACGCCACTGTGCCGGCAAAGGACATCTTGGTGCTCTTGTCGCTCATCTCCTTGGACGTCCCGAAGTCGGAGATCTTCACCTTGTCGTCTTGGGTCACCAGCACGCTGGCGCGCGCAGACGCGCGCAAGCGGAGGACAGGCGGCACGACGTGTGAGGTCGATGTAACACCACGGCAGCACGCAAAACGAGGGCAAAGATTCACACGCACATCCTTTGTAACGGACTGTCGGGGCGAGTGCTGTTTGCGAGCACCTATTAAGACCGGAGTGGTACCAGGACCACGCCCCGGCCGCCATTTGCGATACCTGTGCTGATGTTTTTATACACTGCACCAGGTCCTTATTTAAGGCTGAGTCGACCCAGGGGAAGCCCGAGACCAGTTTGGATGTCGCCATGGCTGGAAATGGAACACAGATGCGAGGTTTGCAGCGCAATGCGCAAACCACTGCACCACCGCTTGCTGCGTGCATACACGCGGACACGCAAACGCACGCACACACTGTGCATATTTGATCAATCAATTCATTGATTCAGATATATTCTGACGCTCATGATGCATGCATTTAATGCTGCACTTGAGAATCAATTATTACAATGTATACAAAGTACATGACAATGATATGCGTAGAGTCGAATTATGCTAATATGACAAACACACCTGTACAGCGGAGACGGCACAATCAAAATGAGACAAAAAGGGATCGATCTTTAATCGAATTGTAACCTTTTGAGGCAGGAATGGCACACAAGCACCACACCTGGCCGCCTTTGTCTCCCTCGTTGCTGATCTTTACAGGCTCTACAGGAATATACATTTTACGCTAAGTGAACGCACACTTGCAAACACACACACACACATCTTAACATGTGAATGACAAAGACCAATACCCATATTGGTGACGTCACCGTTACTAAGTCACCGTCAAAAAATGACGGTGACGTCACCCCGGCACCTGCGCCAGGCCAGTTGCACACACACACACATGTTCACGTACTCCAAATGCTCATGCACACCTATGCATGCACATATCCACAAAACCTCCCATAACGACTTTTGGGGCAAGTGCTGTTTGCAAGCAACTATTAAGGCCCTCAACACATGTGAACAGGCGATGCATCCATCACCAAACATGCCCAGCAGACCCTCTCATCTCCTTCTTGCCAACGTTTGTCACGCCGCGTCTAGATCATTCGTCCGACGTGAGCTCCCGACGCCAGATTCAGATACCAAAAGTCTCTTGGACCAGTGGCCGCGATGAGTATAAAGTATAAATTTGTTTTATGTGAAGGAACATATGGACGTATCGGTGGTACACCGGTGCAACTTAACACACCGGTGCAGCATAACACACTGGTGCAGCTTAACACACCGGTGCAGCATAACACACTGGTGCAGCTTAACACACCGGTGCAGTATAACACACCGGTGCAGCATAACACACCGGTGCAGCTTAACACACCGGTGCAGCATAACACACCAGTGCAGCATAACACACCGGTGCAGTATAACACACCTGTGCAGCTTAACACACTGGTGCAGCATAACACACCGGTGCAGCATAACACACCGGTGCAGCATAACACACCTGTGCAGCATAACACACCGGTGCAGCATAACACACCTGTGCAGCATAACACACTTGTGCAGCATAACACACCGGTGCAGTATAACACACCGGTGCAGCTTAACACACCGGTGCAGCTTAACACACTGGTGCAGCATAACACACCGGTGCAGCGCATAACACACCTGTGCAGCATAACACACCGGTGCAGCATAACAAACCTGTGCAGCATAACACACCTATACAGCATAACAAACCTGTGCAGCATAACACACTAGTGCAGCATAACACACCGGTGCAGCATAACACACCGGTGCAGCATAACAGACCTGTGCAGCATAACACACCAGTGCAACTTAACACACCAGTGCAGCATAACACACTTGTGCAGCTTAACACACCGGTGCAGCATAACACACCGGTGCAGCATAACACACTGGTGCAGCATAACACACCGGTGCAGCATAACACACCTGTGCAGCATAACACACCAGTGCAGCATAACACACCTGTGCAGCATAACACACATGTGCAGCATAACACACATGTGCAGCATAACACACCGGTGCAGCATAACACCCTGTGCAGCATAACACACCTGTGCAGCATAACACACTTGTGCAGCATAACACACCTGTGCAGCATAACACACCTGTGCAGCATAACACACCCTGTGCAGCTTAACACCCTGTGCAGCATAACACACCTGTGCAGCATAACACACCAGTGCAGCATAACACCCTGTGCAGCATAACACACCTGTGCAGCATAACACACTTGTGCAGCATAACACAGCTGTGCAGCATAACACACCTGTGCAGCATAACACACTTGTGCAGCATAACACACCGGTGCAGCATAACACACCTGTGCAGCATAACACACCAGTGCAGCATAACACACCGGTGCAGCATAACACACCTGTGCAGCATAACACACCTGTGCAGCTTAACACACCCTGTGCAGCTTAATACACCAGTGCAGCATAACACACTGGTGCAGCATAACACACCGGTGCAGCATAACACACCACTGCAGCATAACACACTGGTGCAGCATAACACACCACTGCAGCATAACACACCCCTGCAGCATAACGCACCAGTGCACCATAACACACCGGTGCAGCATAACACACATGTGCAGCTTAACACACCGGTGCAGCATAACACACCGGTGCAACTTAACACACCAGTGCAGCATAACACACCACTGCAGCATAACACACCCCTGCAGCATAACACACCGCTGCAGGATAACACACCGGTGCAGCATAACACACCACTGCAGCATAACACACCACTGCAGCATAACACACTGGTGCAGCATAACACACCACTGCAGCATAACACACCCCTGCAGAATAACGCACCAGTGCACCATAACACACCGGTGCAGCATAACACACCGGTGCAGCATAACACACCGGTGCAACTTAACACACCAGTGCAGCATAACACACCACTGCAGCATAACACACCCCTGCAGCATAACACACCGCTGCAGGATAACACACCGGTGCAGCATAACACACCGGTCCTCATAAAGGTCTAAAATCAATTGACCCTGTCGTCAAGGTTTATTCTGTGCACTGGGACCGATGATTTGGGTCCGTGGAATCGAGGAACCGTCCCACCAAGTCAAGGGCACGAGAAGTAAAATCTGCCTTTGGAACACAGCAGCCAATCGTCACCAGGCAGGGTGCTGCAATACGGCAACAGACTGTGCGAAGCTTCATGTTCAACTGCTCATATAAACGTTCGTCTTCCGACCGCTTCGACATCGCGCGAATCCATTTTGCCGCATCCTGCAAGATTTTCTGACCGGGGTTGCGAATCGCAGACAAAAAAAATAATAATTATCCGAATTATGCATTTAAATAACTTATTCGTTATACTGCGTACCACCGGCATACCGCCAATACGTTCCCACGTGGCAGGGAGACGCGCCGTCTCCCACTCAGCCGTTACGATCCTCACTTGGGCGACTTGAGGTCGCGGTGGACGATCTTGTGGGTGTGCAGGTAGTGCATGCCGCTCGCGATCCCGCTTGTCCAGTCGACGAGGAGGTGCGGGGACACGAGGCGACCCACGCGCAGCACCTCAAACAGCTGCCCCTGCGCGCAGTACTCCATGATGATGCAGAAGCACGGCGCTTGAGTGCACACGCCCCTGTGGGGGGAAGGGAGGGGGAGCCGAGGGCAACACGGCAGGAATTGCGAGAGAGGTTAGAGGTCACCGGGCTGAAGAGTGTGAGCACTGAGTGCCAGGAGATGAACGGCAAAAAGGTCAGAGGACATGCGGTGTAAAGGTCAGCGGATATCGGATTAAAGGGCGAGAGTTCAGAGAGCACGGGGTTGAAGATTTAGAGTTCAGAGGGCATGGGGCACAGAGTCGATGGCTCAGAGGGTACGGGAGAGGGCGGAGGGTCAGGGCTGGGAGGGTCACGGGCGGCCCCGACGTACTTGAAGGCGATTATGTTGGGGTGCTTGAGCTTGCGCAGCGGCTTGATGTCCGTCTCGCGTTGCTCGCGCACCTTCTTGATGGCCACGTCCTCGCCGCGGAACTTGCCCAGGAAGACGGCGCCCTGAGCGCCGCTGCCCAGCCACTGCAGCTCTGCAATCTCCTCGAATGCCACCTCCCACTTGTCTGCGTTGGCACGGGGGGGGTGGGGTGGACGGTCAAAATAACAGGGAGGAAGAAGAGGCGGAGGAGCGATGGCGGTGAGAGGGTCTGGCCGGGGCAAAACAGGGCGAAGACAATGGACTGTTGGGGGTCACAGTCGGGGGTTAAACAGCCAAGCACCCAAACAGACCCAACCAATGAGAGGCGGGGTTAAAGGGTCGGAGTTGGAGTTTACCGGTTTAGGTTAGTTTGGCAATGGGTTGTATATTCCGGTTAAAGTTTATCTTTATAGCGTAGGGTTAGAGATTAATGGCTGAGGTTACACATTTTAGATCGCAATCAGTTAGGGGGGCTTTGTAAGGGATGGCCTAACACCTTGCTGCTGGAGCTTGTACTCGGTGGAGTAGGCCTTGCCCAGGATGCTCCACACGGGCCGCAGGCATCCGAGTAGCCCCTCCAGGAAGCTGCCGCCCGTCGACTTGCTGCGCTGCATCTTCCTCCGCATGCCCTCGAGGCTGCTCTCGCCGCCGTCCCCGCGCCCGCCGTTCGGCTGTCCCTCTCCGTACTCCTTCTTGCCTTCATCCTCCGCCTCATCTTCCTCCTCCTCCTCCTCCTCCGCCTCGTCCTGCCCCTCGTCATCATCGTAAACGTCTTCGTCCCTAAGGTCGCTCCGGGGCGGCCGCACCAAGTCGCCACCTCCGGGAACGGAGGTGGCGACCCTGCGCGAAGAGGAAGAGGAGGATGATGACGACGACGAATTGGAAGAGGGCAGCTCCACCGTGGTCGCGTCGCGGAGGCCGGCGCTGCCGCCCTCTCCCACGCTGCCGCCGCCAACGCCCCCTCTGCCGCCAACCTCCGGGCGCCGGCAACCCGCGGGGGGGCGGCCCCGCGCGCCGCCCTCTCCCGCGCCCTCGCCGCCCCCATCGAGGATGGTGAGCGTGACGAGGCTGTCCCCGCCGGCGCCGTCATCGCCGTCGCCCAACGCCACCTCCTGGCGCCGGCATAGCAGCCCGGCGCTCATCGCCCGGCCCGCGGACGCCAGCTCCTCCGGAGATGAAGAAAGCAATGCCGATCGGTCTCCATCCACCTCCCGCATCTGCTGCTGCTGCTGCTGCTGCCGCCGCTGCTTCGTCACGTCCGGCTCCTTCGTGCAGATTTCCGTGAAGCCGCGGTCGTCGTCAGGCTTGCTCGGGGAGACGTCGCGGCGGGGCCCCCGGGAACCGTCGGGGGGCCCCAGCATGCAGGCCACGATGTCGGTCAGAGGCGGGGCAGCCGCCGGGCGCTGGGGGGCCGGCTCGCCCCCCAGAATCACAGGGGGGCCGCCGCGGCCGCTCTGCGTGTGCATGGCGACGTGCGGAGAGCGAAGGAGAGCAGAGAGCGGAGGAGAACGTGGAACTTTGGCCTGCCTTTAATGGGGGACAGAGGAGGAGGACGTAGGATGGGAAAAAGACAGAGAGGGAGTGGTGGGGGGGCAGGCAGGGAGAGAAAGAGAAGGCATGCAGAGGATCGTTGTGTGTGTGTGTGTGTACGTATGTAGGGGTGTGTCAAAGTGAGACAAAGTGAAAAAGGAGACGGGGAGGAGACAATTCCGATTAGTATTAGCATTAGGATCGTCATAAATCTCATAATTTCACTTCATTATCACCTTATGTACAATTTTATAATTGCTGTAAAGCGCCTCGGAAAAGGAACTTTATAAATCACAAGAGGCAGGCCATCGCTGTGCTCGTCATCTGGCAGTAGTCCATCGAAGTGCATCTGCGGTGCTCATTCCCTCTACGGGATCATCCCCTCGACACCTGGATCACAACTTTACAAGTGAAGAACTGTGGATGCACACACAGGGGTGCCGCGGTGGCGAGATGTTAACTACCTCGCCTGGTATACAGGTGGGTTCGATCCCGACCCTGATGCCTGCTGTATATTGGAGTTTGCGTGTTCGTGTGGATTTTTTTCTCCGGGTCCTCCGGTTTTTCCCTCCACATTTATAATCACACGTTTAGAGTATGTTGGCTGCTTTAAATGTCCACGTGACGATAAGCCACTTCGTTGAGCTATCTCTTGTGGCCAGGTCGCTTCTGGGTAAGAGCCCTGTAGCTCAGTGGGCCATACCTAATAAAATAAAATTAATGGTTTAATTTGTCTGTCCATTGGGTCATATTCAAGTGTTTACTTTGCTCCGGATGAGGTTTTAGTTCTTCCAATCTTCACTCTCCACACCATGGCAGCAAAATTCAGGTCGAGTCGAGCAAAATGCAAGAATATTTTCCAATCTTGAATAACCTTGATCAACACTCTACAATATTTCATCTTAACTTGTGGAGTACTTATTCACGAGAACCTTACATTTTAACTGTGCGACCATTTTAGTTTCTATTTAATGCGAACTCGAACTGTGCAGAATAATGTCACACCGGATTCATATCTGTGTAATCCACAATTTGCTCTGCGTGTAGCTTATCTGGAGCGACGAGCATATGCACGTGTATTCCGTGGTGTCGTGTTGAGTGGTGGCGCAGTAGTTAGCGCACTGCATGACCAATATCTGAACCAGTCCCGCTCCTCCCTTAGGTTGATTCAACCTTAAATGTGTACCATGCTGCGGCGTGAAAAAAACATCAGCACTACTGGGAAGACAAAGGTGCTAGCCATAACCACCACCTCACTGTGGGTGTCACACTGTGGGTTGTTTGTGTGTGTGTGCTCGCGTTTGTGTGAATGTGGCTCTGTGTCAGTGCGTTTGTTTATGCATGCATGCGTGCGTTTTTGCATATGCATTCATGCGAAGGTGTATTTGTGTGTTTGTTTGCATGTTTTTGTGCAGGAATTAAATCGTATCCACGTGCGTGTGTTGCAGTGTCATTGCAAAAGTAACTTCACACCCCCACATGTCTTGCAAAAGACACACCTTCGTCTCAATGGTAATGCCATGAATGCATTTCTGATCATTGGTGATCTGTAATTTATTTAGTGATCTCCGACCTTTAGATTGTAAACGCATAATAACTCTTGCAGGTTCACTCGGTGGACCACCAACGTCTGTAACCCAGCGCTGTGGAGGCGAAGGTTGTCAAATCGCGCAAAAAGTTGCGAATTCCCCTTTCAAGTGGGCGTCAACGCCAAGGAGGAGCCCCTGCGTTCACCTGCTCGCCAGGAGAAGGCGGTAGGGCCAAGTGTGAAGTGGCGTCTTCGGTCCATTCTGTATGGGATGGAGTGTTGCCCCCCTCGTCCGTGTGAACTGTTTTTTTTTTTGTCCCCGAATGTATCAAAACTCATTGGTTGGCTGAAGACATCTCGATACGTAGAGAGAGTTCGGGCAATTGCCTGTGGTCCGTCAGCGATTGTTCGATGCAATTTTCATGGACGCCGACGCAATATAAAAGGAAACTTTACATCACATATAAGTCACGACGTTTCGATCGCAACACAAGCGGTCGTACTCAGGCGGAAAAAAATAATCTAGCAGTGGAACTGCTGAACCAGCGAGAGGGCTGTTACAACAAGGAGGTTATTCACGTGGCGATGGGCAAGCAAGCGGGGTCTGAGCTGGAAAGAAATTCCATCCCCGCACGCAAGCACATCAGTTGTGTTAATGGGGGAGATTATGGAGAGAGAGATTTGGGAGAGAGATCAGCATGAAATGAGCTTCCGTCGCCGCATGAGAGTATCGTCCCCGCATATGCGCACAACAGCAGCGTTAATGGGAGATTAGCACTATGTTGATGGGAGAGATTAGGCAGGGAGATTAGGGGGATTAGCAAGTTGATGCCATGTCTATGTGTAACACAAGCTGCGGCGCTGCCAACCGCGCTGTGAGAGGCGAGCGCGTCCACGCAAGAGAACCACCGCAACGGTGGTCGCGCCAGTGAGACACGCAGCCCATCACACAGCCAGAAAACATCGATACATTGAGGCTAAGGGAGCAGAGGTGGCCATGTTAGTGAGACCCCAGCCCGTTAATGCAGAGGCACCTAACAGGGCAATGCAACTCAGAGAGTCGGAGATAACAGCCAAACGGCAAGGACGAATGGAAGCACCACAACAAGTCACTGGCTGTGGTTCTCTTGCGGACGCGCTTGCTACACAGCCCTCTCGCTGGTTCAGCAGTTTCCACTGCTGGATATTTTTTTTTCCGCCTGAGGACGACCGCTTGTGTTGCGATCGAAACGTCGTGATATGTTATGTTTTGTTTTATTTTATTTTTCTACCCACGTGACTTTACCGACGGAACCAAAGAGTATGGATTCCTGCAGTCACGAAAGCTTCAAATCAAGATTACGTAAAAGGTTTTGAGGATGTACACACACGGGCTGTGTTTTTGTACATCAAGTGGCCGTGGCCCACGCAATCCACTGGCGCTTACATCACCGCTCGCCGCCGACAATGACCAGGGGGCAGCACCCTGACACCCAACACTCGCCCGTGTTCAGTTCCCATGCATCATTTACACAAGCTCCTGCTGAGGAGCGGTGGTGCAGTGGTTAGCACACATATCCTGCGAATCCCGCAGCCTTCCTGAGTGATGGCTAGAACCAGTCTTGGGCCTTCCCTCGGAGAACACCGCATGAAATGAGTACCTGGGGCAGTCTAGCTTGCCTCTGGCCACACCAAACATCTCGTGCGCTTGTGTTGACCTCAGTGGGAGCTTGCTAACAGCACCTCCGATTAGCACCAAGCTAGCCATCCAGTACATTTATTAATCCAGTGTTGGATGAAGGCCTCCCTCTGGATGTTTGACCATAATTTATAATGCAGCAGCACCCTGCTGAAAAAGAGCCTTGAGACTCAGCGAGGGTGTCCTGGATAACTGAAGGGGTTTTTTTTAAATAAATTATTTTCACAGTTGGTCGCTAGGGCTTATTGTGGGGGGGGGGGGGGCGGTGGGGAGAGCCACTGTGGCGTGGATCTCGGTACAGCTGCGTCTCTCCGCACGTCCTCAGCCCCGGCATCCGTGCAGTCCCACTGGGCGCGGAGTTTGATGACCCCGACAGATGGAGGCCCAGCGAGCGAGTGGCCGCGAGCGCCGGGTGGCGATGCCGTCGAGTCTCGTTTCCGTTATCAGACCGGTGGGTACAAGGGAGAGTAGATTGGGTGCGATGCTGTTACTGATATGGAAACGCCATCTCGCCCAGAGGGGAGATGTTTTGGTTATAAAAGTATTATCTGCGGAGAAACGCCTCTTTTCAGCGATGACGTAGGAGGGGCATTCTTGCCAGATATTTATTTTGAAGCTGCACTTAACTCTTAACCACACGGATAATCGCCGACAATGGGATGGATTTACACCGCTTCTGCGTGACTCCTCTTAACGTCCATGAATACATGTGAATAATTTGAAGATAATTTGAGCAGAAAATATAATCAATTCTAGGGCACAATATATATTAGTAAAAAAAAAACTTTATTTTAGGTAAGTTTAGTTATCGCATTGTCGTTAATATCTTGTCTCTATCTCCGGTCCTGTCTACTGTCTCACAGTGGCGATTGGTTCCTCCAAGAAGCGGTGCAGCAGTGCCAGATGGTTCTCGTGTCACTAGCCACTGTTCAATAAAAGTGTGGCATGACCCTGACCGGGGTTTGAACATATGATTTTATGATCAGAAGCCCTGTTGCTCAGTTGTGCCATCGCAGCCATTACAGCAGAAATGTGAGCTGTGTGCCACCTGGCTGAGAGCAGTGAGCGTTCAAAACACACACGCTCACAACCCACAAGCGTGAAGACAGTATGAACCACACACACAAACCATAATCAACATCACGCAAAACAATCATAAGACATCCACAACACAAACCAGAACACACAACACAAAATACACAACGCAAACATAATACAAAACCACACAACATAACTGATAGCACAAACACATAACGCACACAAAACAAACCAGAAAAACACAACATAACAAAACACAGCACGTACATGCTCTTACGTATAAGGAAAGTGAATGTTGTAGACGGGTTGATGGGTGGTGGCAGAGACGGTGGTGGTTGTGGTTGAGAGGCGGTGGTGTCGGTGGCAGTGGTCGTGGCGATGTTGGTGGTGGTTGTGGTGGTCATGTGGGTTAGTTTGCTCAATAGATTTTACAGACCCAACCCGTGCCTATATCCACTGCCATTATCAATTTTACGAGCCCCTTGATGAACCACAAAACTCCAGCCAAACGACGCAGATCACAACCAGCGTAGTCACCACTGTCGATTCCATCCCACAAAACTGTAGAGATAATTTTCACCAGATTAAGCAGTGGTTAGCGCACTTCGCTCTGAACCCACGGGCATGGGTTTTATTCTCTGCCAAGGATAACATAATTGGGGAACGATATGCCAACTGGTCCTGGGCCCCCTTATCACCAACCAGCATTGAGCAGTGTGGTGAAGTATGGTCAAACAACCTCCATGGCACGGA